CACTGTAAGTTTGAGGCCAGCCTGGGCTGCATAGCAAGACCCTACCTCAATAATAATGATAATAATAACAATAGCAGCAATAATAATAATAATATGAATATGTTTCCCCAAGGGATGATTCATATGAAGATAATCCCATCCATGGCATCAGCCATTAGTGTGTGTGTGTGTGTGTGTGTGTATTTGTGTGTGTGTGTGTGTGTGTGTGTGAGAGAGAGAGAGAGAGAGAACTTGATAAGCAGTATTTTTAAATTTTTAATTTTTTATGTGTTTGTCTGCATGTATGTATGTGCATCATGTGTATGCCTGGTAGCCATGGAGGCCAGAAGAGGGCACTGAATCCCCTAGAATTGTAGTTACAAACAGTTGTTAGCCTCCATGTGGGTGCTGGGAACTGAACTCAGGTCCTCTGCAAGAGCAGCCAGTGCTCTTAACTGCAGAGTCATCTCTCCAGGTTGCATTTAGCATTTTTTAAAAGGGAAAATCAAGCCAGTTATTAGGAAAAGACATCAGAGCCATGCAGATCTCCTTCAAATTTACTTCACGAGTTACATATTTTTTTCCTTTGACTTAAACATGTGCTTCCAAATAAGGGCAGAGAACCATAGACACCTCTGCTGTGAGTCTGAAGTGCTTTAGCCCTGTGTCCTATGCACACATATTTGTAATCGATTTCTTAAATTTTTATATTTCATTTTAAATCAAATTAGATTTAAATTTTACAACAGCCTCTTTGAGTCTTAGAAAATTGGTTTTGAGTTAATTAGAGCTTCCCAATTAAAACTGTACAATTAAATCTATTTTCCAGGCATATTTATGCATTACTGTGTGTCAACTCTATTGATACCAACCCAGTGAGCAGAAATGGCACATCTGAGAGTGAGATTTAGTGTTGAGAGTCACAGAAGGGAGGTTCAGCTCCCCGACAAAGCTCATGACAGGACCCTTGAACACCAGACTTGAACCAGGCAGAAGCTCATTTCAGAAGCAGACTGCTTTTTCTTTTGTGACAACAGCTTGAAGCACACACTTAAAACAGTATCAGTTTTGATGTGGCTGTTGGTGGGAGGGATGTTAGTGGCTCCTTTTAGCAAGTTTTTATAGAATCACATTAGCACTTCATTGTGGTAGCTGTATCATATTAAAATCTGTTTTTCTATTTTTTTTTCTGAAAGGTTTCCATTATGCATCTGGTGAATCTGATATGGAAAATTGCTAATGCAATAAGAGAATCATGGAAGCTTTCCTGACTGTAATGCTCTGCCACACTCTGTAGGGGGAAGCCCAGTGGGGCTGGGGGTGGGGGTCAGGCTGGTTCTCACCACTTCTCCCCAAGGTTTCAGCTCAAGTTCAACACTGGCTTCCTGAAAGATGGACTTTTAAGACCTATTCTATGGGTGAAATGCTTTTATAGATTGTATTTCAGAAGGGACCATGGGTTCACTAAAGAGAGTTTTCATTTAATTAATATTTATTGACTGAGTACTATGCAGGGCAGTGTGGTCAACATTAAAGGAATGAAAAAGGTAGATGGGACGCTGTCTTCTTGTGCTGATCTTATAAAAGTCACCTGAGGGGAAGATGTAAATGAGCATATAAGTGACTTAACACAAGGGGACAGGTGATGAGAGCACGAGGTGCAAAAGCAAAAGGACATCCTGTCATCTAGACAATTCCCTGAAGGCAGAAAGCGAGCAGAGTAAATAAGATGATGAATTGGCTGACAAATCTAAGGAGTTGGTGAGAGGTGAGGAAGGAGGAGAGGCCTCCTGGGCCTGAGTTGGAGTGGTCATGCAGAGAAGAGGAAAGCCAGGCTGTGCAGAGAAGGCTGTGACTCACTCTTTTTTTCCCCAACAATTAAAAAACATTTATTTTGATTTTATGTATATGAGTGGTTTGCCTGCATTATGTAAGTGCATCACATGCATGCAGTGTCCATCTGGCCTGGGCAACAAATCCTCTGAAACTGGAGTTACAGATGGTTGTTAGTTGTCACGTGGGTGCTGGGAACTGAACCCAGGTCCTCTGCAAGAGCAGCCAGTGCTCTTACCCGTTTACAGTTCCTGTAAGTCAGTCTTTTAACTGCAGCAAAACGTATGTGAAAATGGGCCTGGAAGAAAACACTCACATGTGAGGCAGATAAGGGGACCTGGGGTTCAACACGGCTCCGGAGCAGGCCTGACAAAGTGAACATCCCACTTGTGTGACTATGGTGACAGCTAATGATGGCAATTATTTTAAACTCCTGTGACCTTAGTTGGCACAAGTGTCTTAAAAGACATAATTTACAGGAATGTTTGCTTTTAAAGGTTAGTTTATCTCCAGGGAATATTTATTTTTGCTATGTCCCTGTTTGTATATGGACATTCATCAGATCAACACAGCTCACTACTGCCCTGCGCACAAGGTCATAATAAGGACTTACGAATGTGCTGTTTGCTTTTCCTTGCTTTAGGACAGCTTTTCAACTCACTAGCAACAGTAACCAAGGAAATACAAACTCAGCAGCGTAGAATTACAACAATTTGAGGAGATTCATGTTTTCAACATACTACTCTTTGTACTGGTTTATTCTGGATAGTTCCCTACTTCTGAATTCCTAAGTGCTCAAAAACAATAAATAGAAAATCTACACTAAGCGTCATTAAAACCTTAGAATTTAACATTGTTGTATGTTTTGAAAAATAAAAACCAGTAGCACTTATTGGTCACAACCTTGAACTTCCTTACATCAGAGTAATCCTGTAGATAAGCATGAGGTATATGACAATAAAGTAGAACCCAATGAGGCTGCCCTCATTTAGTATCAGGGAATGTCAGAATCAGCTGGCTTAATGCTATAGTGCCCATCTCCCCAACCGGGCAAAGCACATTATACTTCCATTCATCAGAATTCAATTCTTTGTAAAACTGATATTGAACATTTTCATTCTTAAGAAATAATTTTTTGGTGCTGGAGAAATGGCTCAGTGGTTAAGAGCACCAACTGCTCTTGCAGAGGACCTGGGTTCGATTCCCAGCCCCTACATGGGGGCTATGAACCGTCTTTAACTCCAGTTCAGGGGAATCTGAAGCCCTCTTCTGACCTTACGG